ACTGTTTGTATAAAGCCTAGGCTCTAAACAATGAAATTATAACCTTCAAATAGTGTCGAGAAATGTGGTTTCACTATTGAAAATCTTTTTGATGGCCTTAAAATATATTTTCATTTTTATTTATAAAGTCTAAAGCTTAAAAAATTGTGTAGATCGAGCGATTTATGAAATCTTTAAAATCTTGAAAATTGACGGTCCAAAAGTGCTTTACAAAATACATTATTTCCAATCTTTATTTATAAAGTTTAAAGCTTCAAAAATAGTGTAGATCGAGAGATCTATGAAAACTTTAAAATCTTAAAACTTGATGGTCCAAAAATGCGTTACAAAATACACTATTTCCAAAACTTGAAATCCATTTTTATCTATGTCTATGAGTCTTGGTGTATAGCAGATGATATTTAACCTCTTTTAGTAAAAAATTTTAGGTAGGCTCGAATTTGATTGTTTAGAGCCTCGGCTCAATATAAACCTTTTTATATATATATATATATATATGGGAAAAGTTTATAAAATGTTGCAACCTTAAAATATAGAATTATAGATGCACCTCAAAAATCTATCGGAACTTTGTTTTAGTGTTGAAAAGCCTTCTAATTGATCACCTCGATGTCAAGATGTATGAATATTAAAAAAAAAAAGTTTTTGAGTCCCAGAAATAGTGCATATTGCAACACATTATCTAGACCATCCATTTTCAAGATTTTCATATGCTTATAGATCCACTTGATTTTAACCATTTTTGGAGTTTAAAAATTTATAATTAGATATGAAAATAGATTTTAAGATAAATCTAGTAATTTTTTACAGCAAAATTACATGTAATGATAAAATTTGGAGGTGCGTCTTAATTTGATTGTTTAAGGTTGCAACCCTATAGAAACTGCACCATATATATATATTTATATTGGCTTCTTTTTTTTTGGTTTTTTTTGTTTTTTGAGGTTTGAAGGAGGAGGGAGCAGAGTAGTGTGGGGGTTTCAAGGGAATTGGGCCAGGACAGATACCATTCTAGAACCAGTTCATTTCTGACTAATTCCCATCTAGATCGTCCATATAGCTCTTAACGCTTATACTTTTTCATGATAGCTCTAAAATCAATTTCCAACACCGACCATAAAATTTGAAGATAAAAAAATAACATAGATTTTGTAGAACTGTGAACACTCATTTTTAAAATGAAACGAAACGTGTTATAAAAGACTATTTTTAAGGCTTGAAATACTAATTCATAATTGTCTAGGCCGAGATGATTGATTCGAAGTTTTTTCAACACCAAAAGACTGCAATCTTTAGTGAGTTTTGATGCAAGGCTTTACTTATTTTAAAATGGCTACAGCCCCATCAAAATATTTACCTTTATTAATTATCATGAATTTTCCCAGTTAAAGCAATTTGGATTGCTTGATTTAGCAATCAAAGGGTTCATTAAAAAAAACTCAATTTTCGATTTTAAACAATGGGCTGAAATTACTGAAGGAAACCATCGCATCATCGATGGATCTGTATAAAATTCGAAGCTTTATAATCTTGTAGCTTCTTTGTAATCCAGATGCTACAAACCTCCGTAGAAAGTCGCTGGCAGACCGCTAACAGGTAGCTTCATCTTGCTTGGGACTCACTGTCCTGCATAACGAGTTAGGTCAAACCCAGCGACTTCAACCGGTCCAGGTTTGAATTTGGACTCCGACTCTGAATATTGGATCTCAATCAGATCATGTTGAACCCGAATGCATACAATGTTGTATGCCGATCTGGGTTTAGGCTTAGCCTAGCATGGACCATGCCGGTCACGCCATTCAAACCCTTATTTAGAAACCCAAGAGCATGGTAATCGTCACTGGACCTGACTGGCAAACACTCTATTGGCGCTTTAGCTGTTGATTTAAAAACCAAGTAAATTTTAGTTAAAAAAAGAAAAAAATGTCTAAATTAATGTTTGATTAATTTTAGTAAGTTTGTGCAGCCGATTTCTACCAGTTTCACTAGTCAAATAAAATTGGATAAATTTTTTTTTAATGTATTTTATAAATTTAAATTATTATTTAATTTTTTTTAAATCCAATCTAAGAAGTTCAACGACGAAGATTCTGAATGAACACAAGTTCAATAACAATTTCTAGGCTAGGACCATTTTGGTTGCTCACTTGATAATTTATATAATAACATGTAGAAAAAGTTTATATAATGTTGCAACATTATACTATTGAAGTAAGATGCACATAAAAAATCTTTTAAAAAAGATTGTTTTGACATGAGAGAATCCTCCAATTGATGTATAGGTACCAAGAGAAAAAAAAAATTCAAAGTTATAAAATAATGTCTTGTAAGAAGTTATGGGGACTATTTATTTTCAAAATTTTATAAATATGTATTAATTTTAAGAATAATGGTCTCCTAAGATCTTCTTCTCATGTGCGTAGGATTTCAAAAGATTACTACTAAATTTCATACGTATCTTTAAAAAAAAAGTTATTACATGGATGTGGTACTTGATTTTTTTAGATATCCATCCCATCTAAGACTTAAATTTTTTTAAAAAAATCCAACTAAATTTAATGATAATCTTTTGGGTCTTACATACATAATAAGTGAGGATGGTCCAATAAAATCATTTTCTAACTTTAAAACAATAAATTGCAAAATTTAAAAGTGCGCCAGAAACGTTGAACATTATACATACCTAAACCCGTTGTGTAAACGAATTTATTTTTGTAAGAGTTTGGTCCCAAATCCAAACCCAGTGAGCCATGTCACCTGCATTTAAAACCAGACCAACACCTCAACAACCATACGCAAATGGTACTGACGCCCTTGCCCTCTTCCACTGCTGACCAGCCATGGCCGCTGCTCACAAACCCCTAATTTTCATCATCCTCCTTTGTTTCCTTATCAGCCTCGTCTCCACTCAGACGGGTATGACTCTCTCGCTTCTCTCTGTTGGAATAGGCCTTCTTATTCAGTGTTTCGGCCTTCGACTGTAGATCTTTTGTTTCATGGCATCTGTTTTTGGTAAAGTTTTTTTTAGCGAAAGAATTGGAACTCTATCTTTCGTTTGAGAACCTTGGGGGGATTTGGGGTTCATGCCCTTTTGCCCATGGTTGTGAGCTCTAAAGCTTCGCCAAGCTTCTGTTTATGATGTCACTTTATGTTTTTCGCAGTAGCTTTCTGAGTTGAGTTTTAAATTAAAAAGTCAATGAATAAAAGGCTGTAAGTTTTGCAATCTTATGAATGCTATCTGTTGTTATTGAAATAACTTTACCCGGATTCATGAGAGACTCTTTTGGAAGTAATGTCTATCTCACACATAATGTAACCATTGAGGATTATAGATTGTAAAATTGGAAGTATTTTATTCTGTTTTCTGATTTCTTCAGTCTTTGGTGCCCTTATGCTGCCCATTTCTTGTCCAAGAATGAAATAATCCTTATATGAAAGAAGAATCTGCATGCATTGGGCTCGGAGGGTACCTTAGTGTTAATGTATATGTCTGATTATATTTAAATCTCGATCTTTGCCCATTTTACTACGGAGGGCCGTTTCATTTTGAAAATACAGCGGCATTGTTCTCATTTATGTGATAACTGAGTATTTTGCATATATAACTTTGTTGAGATATAGTTAATTTGGTGTCACTGGAGTATACAAATTCAGGGAGTATTGTGTTTTTTGAGAACTTTGTACCTTGATTTTGGCAGCATTATGTCCTGATGGCTGGGACGTTAGCCCAAGCAAAAAGAAGTGTTTTGGATTTATATCGACTTCGTTTTCATGGGACGAGGCTGAGGGTTTCTGTCAGGACCGTAATGGGCATTTAGCAGCATTGACATCTATCCAGGAGTTGAGTTATGCCCAAAAGATTTGTGCTCGAACTGTTAATGGATGTTGGGTTGGTGGCCGGCGTTTTAACACTACAGTCGGTTTCAGTTGGAAATGGAGTGACAACATGACACGATGGAACGAGTCTGTCTTCCCTGGGGCACCATTGCCCTTAAATTGCACAAACCCATCTTGCCATACAATATACCCAAATGATTCTTGTACATTGGTGACGAGTGGCCATGTTGCTCTTGTGGGCGAGGGTTGCAATATTTCTCATGATTTTATATGCATGATTGATATAGGTACATTCTGATATATTGACTCTATGAAGTCGCTCTTCTTTTGGAGTTCAAACCTTTGAATTGCTGCATGTCTCTTGAGTTATTTATGGGGGAAGTTTACTGTAATGCACTGAACCGGGGAAAAAGTGGTTTGTCACTCTCCAATGGAATTATGGGCAGTGTTGGATTGAGTTGGACCCAGTCTCTGAGTGGGACCCACTCTCTTGATCATTGTCCACCGTTTCAATTGATCTCCAGGGCATTGTAGTATTCTTTTCCGTCATCATGTTATCGAGATGAAAATGGATCTGATATCTGTGTATCCAGTCAGTCTCTTATGTCGCATGTGGCGTTTCCTCATGATTCATTGTAGCTCTCCAGTAAACCAATCATCTCTACCAAAACATGGATGCTAGTGACTCTTCACTCTTTTTTATTTTTTTCAGAGAACAGCTGTAACCATAAACACTGTCACAAGGAGTACATTATCATCCTTGCAGTTGTTAGTGGGATAATTTTATCCACCACACTAGCTGTGGTCATTTGGCTCCTTGCATATCGTCGAAGCAAAAGGCGAAAAAGATCACGCAAAGTGTCTAGTCCATCATCAGCTTCATTGGTTCCTCCATCATGGAAGGCGTTCACCATTGATGAGCTTCGGACAATTACGAAGAATTTCAGTGAAGGAAACAGACTTCTTGGGGATGCAAAGACAGGCGGTACCTATAGTGGTCTCTTGCCAGATGGTTCAAGGGCGGCTGTCAAAAGGTTGAAAAAATCTAGTTTTCAGAGAAAAAAGGAATTTTATTCTGAGATTGGGAGAATTGCTAGACTTCATCATCCCAATCTAGTGGCTGTGAAAGGATGTTGCTATGACCATGGCGATCGCTACATCGTCTATGAATTTGTTGCTAATGGGCCCTTAGATAGATGGCTTCATCACATACCAAGAGGGGGTCGTAGCCTTGATTGGGCAATGAGAATGAGAATTGCAACAACCATTGCTCAAGGAATTGCGTATGTGATTTGTGGGCCTTCCTTGTGTCTAAATTCTTACTATTTTGTGAATGAGTTTCATATCAGACATAATTTGACGAATGCCTTTGTCTGATTATTTGCTTGTTCTTCTATAGTGATACATGTTATTGTCCCTTTCTCCTATGGTATCTGTTATACATTCCTTTTCTGGAATTCTTGCTTCTTTAGTCTTTTGTTTTCAAGTATGCCATTGGCGTTGTTCCCCATAAATGCCCTGATGTCTATTTATACTTAAATGGGTCCCATATGCAGTTCTCTCTGTGGATATCACAGGTTAACATTATATATATATTTTTTCACCAATTTGTTATTTGTTTTACTCGACTTAGAGTTTAGTATGTGTTATATTTCGAAGTATTCTAGATCCTATATTAAACCAGGGTTCTTTTGTTCATTCATTTTTTAGTTTATTGTTTTTGAATAGGAAGATAACTGCTCCACTAAGGGTTATGGAGATCTACCATGCTAGCCTATCTTCTTCTTGGATGTACTAGTGTTTCATTCTTTATTCCTAGAGATTTTTTGAGTCATGAACTCTGTATGGAAAGATGAAGGTTCTTCTTAACGTGGACAATCAGAATGTTGTGTCGAGATTTTTTGAATCATGAAGATTATGGAAGGATGAAGTTACATTTTTGTGTGGACATAGAAAATATGGGATGCAATGAAATCTTCATCTTGGCTATACTTTTGAAATTTTTAAGTCTTCTGGGCAAAAAATCTCGCATGTAAACCTGTGTAGTGAAAGAATTGACCAGAAAAGCTTAAAGAGTTCCTTTAACATTAACAGTCATGATTATTTGTATGTGTATCAAATGTATGTGGCCCTTCCTAGGTGTCATACTTCCTTGTATCTTTGTTAAATACTGGTAATTATTAGCACCTTCTGGAAACCGATATTTTGACTCTTGTTGGTGCTAATCCATTTACAATTTTTGATGCATATCTCCCAGTAGAACATCATTCATCCATTTGGTTGATGAGATTTAAACTTTCATTCTATGACCTACTATGGCTATGGATCAATTGTTGTTATTTAGTTCCCATGGTGCATGGGAAATTGAACTTACCTTGTGTCCTTATATTATATGATGATCAAAGACCATATAATAATATGGAGATTGTATACTATAACACCATTCACTTTTGGTACAAGGAAATCACAATCATTGTTAGCTTTGGTTGTGAAATCGGATAGCTTAAATATTGCACACATAGTTGCAGAAATTGTATTTCAGACTTTGTGCCCAGTCAATGGTACACCTCCAGTCATTTGGTTTCACATCTAACAGTTGATAATGATTGTGACTTGCTTATAACAAAGGTAAATGGTCTTATTATATATATTTTTAATAATAATTTGGGCATGTGATAGAAGGGCGATCTGACCTGAAATAATTGGGATAGGGCTTGGATGATGATGATGATGATAATGATGTAAGAGCCATTAGGAGGTGCTTATTTGAAGTTTTTAACGCTGTACCCTTATGAGTGGTAATAATGGCAAAAGGGAACTTTCCAATTTTGCCCCTCTTGCAGAAAACATCCCCTTTTTAGAAAGGGTAAGATTCGACCACTTGTTTTTTCAATAATCTGCCGACCAGGTGGTTGGTGGCCTGATCAATTTTGGGTTCCATATGACCCATTCTGTGGACCACTGAATCAAAAACATCGGTGCAAAATTAAAAAAGTGATTGATTGAATCTGTCTTCTAGAAATCGTTGTGACAAACTTTTAGAGATCATTGTTCACAACATATTAGTATCTTGCCTTTTATGAGGAAAACTTAATTGAGACATTATTTTTTAACATCAATATCTCATTAGAGTAGAGACTTTAAATTGTTAACATTTTAAACTCCAATATCTTGAAAGGTACAGTTTGCATACGGATGCATCTGTAGGTGTAT